CGTGAGGTGCTGTCAACAAAACCCACATTGCCTCTGGAAAGAAAGTGGCTAGTCTGAGCAGACTAGTATCACTAAGTGGCTGCCCACTGTTGACAAAGATTCACCAGCACCAGGACTGTGGTTGGGCTTGTTTGTAACGCAAGTGGAGAGTTCCCCAGGGAGGGGCCTCGTGCCCAGCCTTCCCTCCACGCGGCACAGACGTCACACCAGCCAGTGGAGGGGAGATGCTCCATCTCAGCCTCACTCTCAAGCAGCAGGAAATGAACCTCCAGGCGAGCAGTCCAAGTGATGACCCAGATCTGTCACCCTCCCTCTGCCTCCCTTCACCTCATGTAATCAGTGCAAACCCTGAGCCCTTTCCACTCCCAGATCCAAGATGCCAACCAGACTGGCACACAGAAGTTATAATTTTATCCCTAGATGAAGAGAAATGTTCAAGGTCCCAAATCTCTCATTGATCATGGAGGGAAAGAAATCAAGTATTCAGATATTTTATTTGTGTGGTACCATGTGAAGTAGTATACAGTAGGCATATGTGAAATTACTCATTTGAAATTATTCATGTGTAAATTTAGTTTTTATCAGAATGTTTTCATTGTAAAGACAGCCTCAAAGACACAAAGGAAGCCTCTCTGCTCCTCGGCTGTCTTGTGTTAAAATTGCAGTTATTTCTGGAAGGCATTTTGGCATTATCCATCAAGTGCTTTTAAAAGGTTTACATCCATTGGCCCAGCGTTTCCCTTTCTGAGAAACATTATCAGAAATTCAGACAAAGGGACACGCATGTAGATATCGTCCCTTACAATCTGGAAGGGTTAACCACAAATGTCAGTGTCCACTGCTAAAAGGGAATATGCCAAGAGGGTACCAATGACTGCCTCTCAACAACGGGATTGTGAGAGAACTTTATTTTTTCCTTTTTCTTTATATGTCTCTGTATTTTTCAAAAAAAATTATCTATAATAAGAAACAACCCAAATATCCATCAATAGATGAGTGAATAAACAAAATGTGGTATATGTATACAATGATTCAGCATTTACAAGGAAAGAAATTCAGACACAGGCTACAACTTTGTGAACCTTGAGGACTTTATGCTAAATAAAATAAGCCAGCCACAAAAGGATAAATACTGGATGCTTCCACTCATATGAGGTGCCTGGATTCATATATGAGTCAGATTCATAGAGACAGAGTAGAGTAGGGGTTGCCAGGGGTGGGGAGTTAGTGTTTAATGGGGACAGAGTTTCAGTTTGGGAGGATGAAACAGTTCTGGAGACGGATGGTGGGGATGGTTGTACAACAATGTGAATGTACTTTATGCCACTGAACTGTACACTTAAAATGGTTGAAATGATATACTTACGTTATGTATATTTTACCAAAATAAAAATTTTAAAGCAAAAGTTCTATAATAAATATGTTTTACTCTGACACTCAAGGAAAATGTTAATGGAAAATGAAATGAAAATGCTGGCTTTGACTAGATGGTCTCATTTCCAGCCTTTGCCTTCCACACCCTAATACCGTGTTCAACATTCAGCTTCAGTAGGAGCACCATGAACGCCAGGGCTGAGCCACACTGAGACACCCAAGCTCGAGACTCAGATACATTAGCCTCTTATTTAGGTAGAAAGAATTAAGTGGAATTATTTCCCTGTAATGAGTTGCTTTACGTTTTATACTTAGCATTAACCAAAAAAGAGAAAGGACAGGGGAGAGGGAGAGGAAAGAATAAGTAATAAAATTCCAACTTTAAATACAGTGCTTTGGGGGTACAAAATATATTCGCCTTTTAAACATATATGTTTCATGATCACAAGAAAAAGAAATGGAGGATAGTGTCACATTACCTGTGAACTTCCTGTATTGCGTCACGTTTGTTCTCTTTAGATGAGTGGTAACACTTGGCAAAATGTACTACACCTTCCTGCTCGGTGATCTGCAAACTAAACACAAGGCAAGGCTGTGACCGCTCATACCCATGCCCTTCTAAATCCACCAGGGCTGGAGACGCTGCTGTTTAAAACCCAGTGAAGACCTGGAGTAACACGGCTCAACTGCTTTTAGCAGGTGCAAGCCAATAGCGTAAGATAAAAAGACTACGGTCTGAAGCAAGACGTGCTGGCATTCATGTATTGTCTGACTATCAAGTACTGAGTAATTGCTCTGAGTTCACTGCAAATTTTTTATTGTGTTAAAATACATGTAATATTTACCATCTTAACCATTTTTAAGGGTACAGTTCAGTGGCACTAGAATATTCACATTTTGTGCAACCATCACCACCATCTGTCTACAGAACTTCATCATCTTCCTGAACTCTCTACCCTTCAAACACTTAACTCTCCGCTCTCCCTTCCGCAGCCCCTGCAACCACCATTCTACTTTCTGTCTCTGTGAATTTGCCTACTCGAGGGAGCTCATATCAGTGGAGCCATCAGTATTTGTCCTTTGCTTATTTCACTTCACATAACATCCTCAATCTTCATCCATGTTTGTCAGAATTTCCTTCCTTTTTAAGGCTGAAGCATATGCTGTTGTTACACCACTTTTCGTTTATCAGTTTACCCATGGATGTATATTTGCATTGCTTCCACTCTTGGGTGTTGTGAATAATACTGCTAAGAACATGGGTGTACAAATATTCAGTGTAAGTTTTGAGAACTGGTGAGCCATATGTGTCCAGAAAAATCTTACTGGTGCCGGGAAATCACTCATTTTGTGGAATCAGAAAATGGGAGAGCAGGAAACTCTAACAAAACCATCATCTATACTTATTTACAAATGAGGAAACATACATGAAGTGACTTAACTAGGATGGTTTATAAAATGTTCAGTTCCTACATTTGAGGAGGAGAGGAACCCCTCTTCCAGACAAAAATATCCACTCAACTTGTCATGCCACATACCTCAAATTCTCAACATTAGAGATTTATTTACTTAGATGAAGGCACGGGTGCTTTTACCAGGAATCTTCTAGTAAAACAAAAATAGCTCTGAGGGAAAGTCATTATTGACCCACATCTCTGTCTTGAAAGACTGGTTTTCCACAGGACAGTAAAGCTTGGAGTGGATTTTTTTAGGGAGTAGAGCCTGTAAGAAAGATCTCAGTGATGGGGGCAGGAGGCAGTGTCACAAGGAATTTTAAGCATAGATACTCCACAAGGAGACCGCCATCTCTTGAGGAGCCCCAGGCACCCAGGGGTGGTCAGTGCCAGTGCTGAGAGTCTGAAGACCCAGAAAAGTGAAGCTAGAAAAGGCTAAAGACAAATGCAGGAAACATCACAATTTTCTCACTGTCTATCTCGTCACTGTATACTGTGCTTCATGCCAAAGTACAGGTCTTCTATAGATGACCTGGGCCCAGGACTCAGTTCTGGATGTTAATGAAATACTTTCCTAGGTTTTCGCAGCCATATAAGCACCAACTGAGGAAGGCATTTTGCTTCAACAGGTTTCAGTGCCTCCAGCTGCCAGATCTGTCACGTGGTGGAGCGGACGCAGCTGTGTCAGGAGGAGGCAGTGTTCAGAGACCCGGAGAACGCCGCATGGCACAGCTCACTAGCACAAGCACCTGAACCTTCCTCGGGTCAGAAATGCTTTCTATAAACACCGTAACTGTGTTGACTCCGTAATAACAAGGGTGATTCTTGAGGGAAGGGTTATTTCCACCTCCAGTTCCAACAGTGTGAAAATGGTTCCACTATGACTGAATAATGACATTTGAAAAGAGAATTATGGTAGTGAGGAAAGCATACACCTACAAATATACTTGACAATAAACACAGGTGATGTGAAAAGCCTTTTGCAATCCTAAAAACCAAGACTGATGACACAGGAACCCTTCTATGTGTTAAAATAACCGAGCAATAGGATTTGAGATTTATTATTGTATCTGCAGAGAAGTCAAAAGGATACAGAAACTGAATCATTAAAATGGAGCCACATATTAGTAATTAAGGAAGTTTACACACATTAGCTATACCGTTTATGAAACTAGACTCTATCATGCTCTGGTGAAATCCAGAAGACAATATTCCCAGGGCCTTGCCATTGTGATGAGTATAGGACCTGATGAGTGAAGTGTGCACCACAGTGTAAGTTCACACCAAATTAACCTAAACCATAAAAATAAAATAGTAACATTAATCCAACTTCCATCATGGTGATGTTTGGTTTGCTTCACTGGCAAGTTCATTGAGTCAACATCTGTTCCACTCCCTCCCATTTCCCAGTAGGCCAAGCTCACATTACCTATTAAAATCCTTCCCGACGGTCTTCTCCTACAGCCTGAGAAAGCGCATGGGACAGTGTCCTCTAAGCTCTCGCTGACGGAGCCCAGGGTACCATCCTCCCCATGGTCCTATCACGCTGTTGATGGCTGCTGAGAGCCAGGTTAGGACTGTCAGCGATGCCAGTGAAGTTATCCTCTCCGGCTAGGTTTTATTTTTCCATTTGAAAAATCATATTTGTGAAACGCATTATATTAGAAGAAAGCACAGAATACTCCTTTCATCAGTTTAGTATATAGTCTTTTTTTTATGAAGGTATCATTGATATACAATCTAATGCTCAGGTTTCACATGAGTACACATTGTGGTTACTACATTCCCCCTATTATCAAGGACCCACCACATACCCCATTACAGTCACTGTCCATCAGCATTGTCTATAGTCTTGAGGCACTTTTTCTAAGCACTCATACCTGTCTTATTCAGCGCTCTACGACTAGCATGCTTTGCTTAACTGGTATGGCTATGGTCCCAGGTCTTCCCTAGGTTCCCTGCAGGCTTTAGCAGAAATGCAACAGGGTTGGACTCTCCAGTACCCTTCTGTCCCTTCACCTGTTTTGCCAGTCAGCTTCTCTCACTTGAGTAAAAGTAAAGGAACTGCCCATCTCTACTAAATGCTGTGCCAGAAGTGATGGGCTCTGGCCAGCCCAGAAACCATGCCAGAGGCCAGAGGTCCAAGTAAAGGAGGCAAGTGAGAAAAAGTACCTTATCTAGGAAGGCTGGAGGAGGATACTGTCGACGAAGCTGGAGCGCGGCGCCATGGGTTCAGCTCCGAAAGGAGAGATGGAGAACAAACGCGCGAGCATGGTGTGGTGTGTGGGCTGATGACCAGGTTCAGAGTCCAGGATGGCCCAGACGAGAGCGCAGGCCACTGGGATCTGGGGAAGGGGACGCTCAGTCGGTGAAGCAGGAAGATGAGGCTGGTTTGTCTCTGGGCAGTTGTCTGCCTATATACAAAACAAGACAAATAATAAATCTCTTATTTCATTATTTTTTCTCTCAAAGCTCCAATCTGCCGCAGTTTCCCTCTTTCTTTTGTCACAGAGAGACTTACCACCTGAATGCCAGCCTTCTGAGTCAATGCCTGGGGCTGTAATTTTGTACAAGGAAGTGTGACTGGAATCAAACTTTCTTTGAGGCATTAGAGGTAAGAATTGGTGGAGGAGGGGAGAGGACAAGGAATGGAGAAATTCGGAAAGGAGGATATTAGGACAGTGAGATGAGGAAAGCGAAAGGACATTTGTTAAATTGGATTTACTTTCCTTAATTTTCTATTTCCATGGGCTCTGCTGAATTGTATTTCCCCTCAGCAATAAGTATCTCCAACCCCACTTTATGTAATAGATTTCATCACCTCAATCTCAGCACCACAATTATAAAAAGGCAATGGGGTTAATGCCTAAGGGTGGCATTCTTTTAGAAAAAGGAATCTAGCAATATCAATGTGAGTGATATTAATACTTAAGCAATGTTTGATGCACAAATCCAGGTATCTGATTTTTAAAGTTTTCATGACTACTTCACCAAAATCAACCTGAGTGAAAACTGCTTTTGCCTAAAAGTTTTGCAGTGGTGAATGTTAAGCAATTGTATTGTTACATTTCACACCAAACAGTTTCAGTGAAAGGCGGAGTGATAACAATCAGCCAGGCCAGTTTCTGGACATTACCTTCCCCTCTCCCCTACAGGACAGGTCTCCAAGCCAGCTGTGTCTTCTGGCTTATACCCGCAGGGACACCGCAGCTATGGGGCTCTCCCAGGAAGACTCATGGCATTTGCGTGGAGTGCACGTGCATGCGCGCGCACACACACACACACGGGGAAATAACAGACCCAGGGGGGTGGGCGGAGCCTTCACCTTGGAAGAATGGCTGACAGGGCCACAGGTTTTCCTGGAGTCACAGCGAGAGGGACGCCTCTCAGAGTGCAATCACTTCCCCCTTCGTCCTTCAGTCAACATCTAACAAACACTGGTTACAGGTCCGTGCTGGACAAGAAGGTCTGACGCTCATAGGAAATACCCAGGTGAAGGATCCTGGGCCTACAGGCTCCCTGGGCAGCGAGGCAGTCCACAGGAAGGCAGTTACAAGCCAGTATAGAAGCTGCTGGACCTGAGAGGAGCCCAGACTCCATGTGAGCAAATCAGAACAGAGCCTAAATCAGGTTGGGGTGGAACAGAAGTCAAGGAAGACTGCCTGAAGGAGGTGACCCTGGTGCCTACAGCCATTCAATTGAGACTGAGTGCTTATCACTTGCCCTCTGCTCTGAGTGCTGAGATGGAACAGTGGACCCAACACATGAAGTTTCCCTCACTAGAAACTCATATTCCAGGAGAGAGAAACTGCTAATGAGCATCAAGACAGAGTGACACATGGCCAGGGAGGCCTGAGGAAGTGATATTAAGCTGAGATCTTAATGATAAGATGGAGGGGTGGGTTCTGCCAGCAGAGGAAATGGCCTGCAGTGACAGCTTGGTGTGCTATTGGAGCATGGCACAGAAAAGACCAGCATGGCTAGAATTTAGTGGGCAAGGGGCAGTGCAAAGAGACTGAGGTGAGAGTGATAAGCAAAGGCCAGATCCCACAAGGCTTTATAGCTCATGGCTACAAGTTTGTATTTACTGCATGCATCATGGGAAATTATTAAAGGGTTTTAAGTCAGAATGTGACATGGCCAGATTTATGTTTCAAAGTGATCATCCCAGCTGCTTGGTCAGGCAAGAGAGTGCTTGACCAAATCAGCACATGCAAAGGCCCCTGGAGAGGTGGCACATCCAACTGACTGTGAGGCCTTCTATGTGGCTAGTGTAGAGCCCCAGGTGGGATGGAGAGAGGGGAGGCTGCAAATACAGGCAAGGGCCAGACCGCCAAGGAAGCCTAGAAGCAGGATGTCCTCATCTGCACTTACTAAACTCACTCAATGGCTTCTGGATTGGTGGGTGGTGGTAAAACCATGGACTCCCCAAACAACAGGGACCCGGCAAGTGGAATAAATTCTATCTTCAAAGACCCAAAATGTATATTGCCTTTCCAAATTGCTAAAATGTATTAATAGTCTTCACATTCTTACACACAAAACAATGGTCCTCTCATTCTCCAGAGTTCAGTGGGTAAAGCAGAGAAGTAATAACCTACTTGGTGACTAATGCCATTATTCTATTAATGCTGTTATTGACTTTCCTACTGCATTTCACACTGATCACTCGCTTTCTGCTTCAGACTCTAGGCTACACTTCTTGGCTGCTCCTTCTCAGACTATTTCCCTGCTTCACTTCCATCCTCTCATTCCCTTGGAGCTGCTCAAAAGCTGGTCTCCATTTCTTCCCGGGCAGCCCCACCCACCTGCTGTTGTCTCCAGCTATTATTTCTCTGCAAACAAGTCCCTGCCCTCCTGTGTGGCTCCACCCTCCCCACTGAGCACCACACCCACGTTCCAACCCTGCTGTTCTTTCTGATGCCACAGCTGCATCTCAGATTCAGTGGGTTCAAACTGCCCCCCATCTTCCCCAACCCTTCCCTTCTTCTGAAGTTCTCCTTGACATTGCAGCCCCATTCACGCAGACTAGGATCCTCAACCGTTCTCAGCTCTTCCCTTTCCCTAATTCTCTACACCCAGTCCATCAATTAAGCCCCTTTTATGTTTTTTCCTCAATGTCTTGGAGTATATCCCCTCCTTTCCTTTTCCATGACCACCATCCTAATCACTGCTGTCATTCCCCTATACTATTACAAGTGACTGACAACGGGTTTCCTTGTCTATGATTTTCTTTATTATATCTATGTACTCTCCTCAAGTCCCAAACAACATCTCCAGACTGGCTTCATGCAGCTCAGAGTAAAAAGAGGTCACTAGATTTGAATTTTCTCAATTTCCCATCCCAAAATATGAAGCCAACAGAGATGAGAAGGTGGCATACAGGAAATAGCTTCGAGTGAAACAATAGTTTTTACACTATTGTAAACCTTGCGGTAAATCTAAATATGTGCTGTCCAACATGGTAAACAATAGTCACCTGAGGCTACTGGGCACTTGAAATGTGACTGTTCTTAATTGAGAAGTGCTGTGAGGGTAAAATATACCCTTAAAAGACTTGATACAAGAAAAAGAATGTAAACAATTTTTGTATAGAGGACATGTTAAAATGATACTACTCTGGGTATGTTGGGTTAAATAATACACATTGCTAGAAGATAAAACTATTAAAATGAATTTGTTTGTTTCTTCTTGCCTCTTTTTAATGTGGCTACTAGGAAATTTTAAATTGCATATGCAGCTTGCACTTGTGACTAGCATTGAATTTCAGTTGGACAGTGCTGGTCTGAATAACTGGAGATAGTGTGGCTGTGAAACTTAATGCAGTTGTTAAGAAACTGTTCCTAGGAAAGCAATGGAATCCAACAATGAAAAGACAAATAGCCCAAAGGAAAATGGGCAAAGGATTTGAACATACATTTCTCCAAAGAAAATAGACAAATAGCCAATGCTCACCATCATTACTCACTAGGGAAATGCAAATCAAAGTCACAATAGCACACCACTTTATGACCACTAGGACTGCCATGATGAACACAATGGAAAATTACAAGTGTGGGCAAGGATGTGGAGAAATTGAAACCCTTGTACATTGGTAGTAGGAATGTACAATGGTGCAGCCACTGTGGAAAACAGTTTGGCTGGTCTTCAAAATGTTAAACATGGAGTTACCACATGACCTAGTCATTTCATCCTCGAGACATGAAAACATTCACACAGAAGTTGTATAAGAATGTTCACAGTAGCATTGTTCATAATAGTAAAAAATAGAAACAGCAATATATCCATCAGTTGATATATGGATAAACAAAATGTGATATAGCAATACAGGGGAATATTATTTGTCAATAAAAAATGAACTAAGTTGACCTTTCTACAACATAAGGGTTAAGGATGCTGACACCCCCCGCATACAGTTAAAAATCCACGTATAATTTTTGACTCCCCAAAAACTTAACTACTAATAACTTTCTGTTATTATTAGTATTACTAGAAGCCCACCAATAATATAAACAAAAGATGGACACATATTTTACATGTACAATATAAATGCATATATAATATGTACAATAAAGTAAGCTACAGAAAACATGTGTTTTCAAATGATTACAAATCTCAAAAAAAAGTCCAATATATTTATTGAAAAAAAAACCATGTATAAGTGGAACTGCACAGTTCAAACCCATTGTTCAAGGGTCAACTGTACTTATATGTGTTACAACATGGATGAACCTTGAAAACATGCTCAGTGAAAGAAGCCAGTCACAAAAGACCACACATTTACAATACCTTCTATGTGAAATGTCTAGAATGTGCAATTTAGACAGTAGATTAGTGGTTGCCTAGGGTTGGAAGGGGTAAAATGGGAGTGACAGCTAATGGGTACATGGTTTCTTTTTGAGATGATGAACATGTTCTAAAATCAGTTGTGGTGGAGGCTGCACAAGAAACAGATTACAGTCTTGCTTCTGGGAAGGGGAACTTAATAGCTTGGGGCCAAGGGTGCTCCTGTATATTTATTTTTTTACTATGTGCACTGTGTGCATATTGAAATTTGGATCACGTGTATAATAACATTTTCAGAAACAAATGAAATAATATTTTACAAAGAAATTGCATTAGGAATGATGAAAGGGTCACAATTAGATTCAATAAAATCCAAAATGTACTAGATAACCTCATTTAAATGTTCATACAAATATATATGCAAATCTAGATGAAAAGAGTAATTTTTAGGGAACTATAAATATCAAAAACTGACTAAAAAAATGTAGAGAACTAGATCAGGCTAAAGGCCAGATAAGAAATTGAGAAATAGCTAAAAATATACTTCACACTCCTCCACCCCCCAAAAAAGAGCATCAAATGCAGATAAATTTACATGTGAGTTCTTCCAATCCCCCAGAGAAAGATC